CGTCTGCAGTGGCGGCAGCAGTAAGTAAAGCAGCAACAGCGACAACGGCCGAAATATTAGCCACAGCAGCAGCAGCAGCAGCAGCAGCAGAAGCCCTCACTCTTGAAACAACAAGGTTGATGTTAAGCGGAGTTATGCCGGGCAGACGCCTCAGAAGGTCGACAGCAACCGTGTTTGTTGCTGCTGTTGCTGGCAGCACACGGCCCCCAGAAGCAGCAGCAGCAGGTGTAGATCCTGCAGCAGGCACTGCTGCTGCTGCTGCTGCTGCTGCTGCAGGACCCTTTACGCTCAGTCCTTTCTCGTCCGCGTTGTCCCCTTGCTGGCCGCTGCTGCTGTCTGCTGGCCCCCCAGCATCAGCAGCAGCAGCATCTTCGATTGCCAAGGGCGTGGGAGGATTAGACGTTTGCTGCTGCTGCTGCTGCTGCTGCTTCTGCTGCTGCTGCTTCGGCGCCTCTGAAGAGGGCCCTTCTCCCGCCAAAACAAGTTTGTCGATTTCGGCAATCCTCTGGAGGGACGGCTGTTCCCTTCCGACCTGCAGACGCCTGCAGCGACAGCAGCAGCAGTCAGCAGCAGCAGCAGCAGCAGCAGCAGCAGCGAAAACGGCCGCGCGCGTCAACGCCGACTCTGTTCGCAAGCAGCATCTGCTGTAGCAACTGTTGCTGCTGCTGCAGCAAACGTACTTTCATTGCTACAAAAAGGCTGGCAGCAAATGCTGTATGGGGGGCCCACAGAAGCCGCAGAGACGGGAAGTGCAGCAGCAGCAGCAGCAACCTGCAGCAGCAGCAAACAGCATCTGCGATAGCCTAAGGGGCACTGAAGCCAAAAAGCACCTGCTACCCAAGGCGCCTAAAAACAAATAGCAGCAGCAGCAGCAGAAGCAGCAGCAGGAGCCGCAGCAGCAGATGCAGCAGCCGCAGCAGCAGTGACCTACTTATTCCAAATGGGGTGCAGCACGTCTCTGCCATGTCTGCTGCTGATGCTGTTGCTGCTGGGAGCAGCTGCAGCAGCAGCAGCAGAAAGGTTTACTGGCGCTCCGCCGAAATCAAGAAGCAAACAGGGAGACTGGTAGTGCCGCACCAGCAGCCGTGCCTGCAGCAGCAGCAGCAGCAGCAGCAGCCAGGCATTAACGCAGCAACAAGCAGCAAGCCTGCCATTGGGCGAAGACGCAGCAGTAAAGTAATGCAGGCGCCGATGCAGAGAACAGCAGCAGCAGCAGCAGCTCGTGGTGTTCCCTGCTGGCCATGGTGCTGCTGCAGCAGCTGCTGCTGCTGCTGCAGCACCATCGCCAGCTGCGGCAGCAGCCGGGG